AATACAAATTTCCTTCTTTGGCTTGCCTAGTTAGAGAAAACAGCAAAATTAAGGCACTAGAAGTTAAGAAAACTTACCATCAAGGAATAAATACTAAATGATTTTATTAATTTGTAAATGGCTCTTCGTTAGGAGGATTAAATACAACTTTCTTGTTAAAACAATCTATGGTGGCGTGATACACCGCTAGCTAATCCATTCCTAAGATTACATCAAAATCTCTCATGTCTAATCCTATCAGGTCTACACTTAGTTTCCTATTTGCTATCTCCATGGCACAAGCCCTGTAGATAACTTCCCCTAGTAGTGTTTCACCTCCGGCAGTAAACACAAATAACAATGAATCAAGTTTATTAGGTGATACATTAATTTTGGAAGCAAAAACATGTGAAACAAAGGAATGCGATGCACCAGTGTCAAATAAAACATGAGCAATATGTTCACAGATAGTATACATACCCTGTACCACATCCGGGTCAGCGTGGGCATCCTGCTGGGTAAGGTTGTAAGCTCTGCCCTGGATAGGAGGCCTTCCTTGATTCTGGTTCCTCAGGCATTCTCTTACATAATGTTGGGCACTGTCACAAATGCGACAAGTGTTGTTGAGGCGGTAGCAGAGTCGGTCCCCGTGATCTCTGCCGCAGTGCTGACAGATCTTCCCACGTGCTGCCCCTGGAGCCTAAGGAGGGGCCTGGATGGCTGGTCTGGGCCTCTTATTTAGTTGGGCAGGCGCAGTAGGTGCTGGCCTGCAGAACGGAGCTGAGGGTCGGGAACTCCCTCCTGGCTGAGGATGGGTGTTGAAGCTTCTTTCCACGATCTGTGTCTTTGCTAGGACTGCTGAATATGTCTTGAGCTCCAGTACTAACAAGTGTTGCCTGATCTCCCGGCGGAGACCCCACTGACACCTCCTGGCCTTTCATCCCTCATCCGTCAATGTCTCTGAGGAGTATCGGCCCAGCTCTAGGAACTTATGAGCATATTCTGATACTGTCATGTTTCCCTGAACCAGTTGAACAAACTCTGTTTCCTTTAGGTGTTGGATGTGCTCAGGGAGATACTCCGCATGGAAGGCCGCTAAGAACTGCTCCCAAGTGACTGGTGTAGGCAGGGTGGTCTACTTGAGCTCCGACCAACGTCATGCTTCCCCTACCAGCATGTAGGAAGTAATGGCAGCTCTCTGCTCAGGAACTACTCCCAAGGTCCTGAAAGCTCTCTCAGTCTCCGCCAGCCAGTACTGGGCCTCTTTAAAAGAGGATCCCCCTGCAAAGATGGAGGGGTTCAGTATCCTGTACCTCTCTATGTAGTCTGGGTCGATCAAGGAATGAGCGGGGTCCCATGGGAGAGGGACTGGACCCGGCTGGGGATAGACTGGGGGGTCCTGTGGTGGCACCTGCTGATATGATGGGGGCACTGGGTTGTGCTGTGGCGGTGCCGAGTAGTACCGTGGCTGGGGCACCGGGTTGTACTGCGGCAGTGGTGCCGGGTGGTACTGTGGAGGAGCAAGCTCGTGTCGGAGTGGCTCGGGATCAGCATGCTGTAGCGAAGGCTCAACCTGCTGTAGTGGAGGAGGGTCGGGTAACTCCCTTCTCTCCTCTCGCCCTTGCTGGGCAGCTATGAACCCTTCCATCATTTTAAATAATCTGTCTACATCCACCAGAAGTGAATTATCCCGGGCCGCTCGATTTAATGGGGGTCTTCCTCTCCTCATTTCTTTGCACCTGCATTTCATAAGGAATGGTTGAGTAACGACTTATTGGTGAATATTTCTCTAAGCATTATTGTGTAAGGGATGGGTCCGAGGAACGCGACTCTGATACCAACTGTAACGGCCCCAGAAATTTAAATGAAATGTATGTATTAAAAATCTCAAATGCGGAAGCGTAATAAAAATTTTGATTAACATCCCTTACACAATAACCAAAACGTACTCAAAACATGAAGGAACAAACTAACTAAAAGAGATACTCGAAATAAGAACTATAAATATAATTATGAAGTCTTTAGGCGTCCCCTTCGCCGTCTTCCTGCGGAATGGGCTCGGGAACAACGTCTTCCTGATCTGAAATTGTTAAATAAGGAATGAGCTACACCAGCTCAGTAAAAACATCACACTATCTCACCGCCACGGAAGTAAAGGTGGGTAGAAAACACAAAAATGACCAATGGAGCATAATTTATAACAAACTCATTTATTAACATAAAAACCTTTACTGTCCACTTACCTCGGTGAGATCCATGAAAACAACATATGAAAGTAATAACATTATCATCATCATGAAATCATATAGACTTTATAACATAACACTTACCACGTCCGGTATGAGAGACCACGTTCCTGATAGGGTTCCCTACGGACCCAGTCCGTCCACCATCTCCCAGGATATCTAGTCAGGCTGTCCATATTTTCCACTTATCAATTCACATAACCTTTTTGCCTTTTTTCTTAATCTCAATTATCCAATCATACACAATATGTAAACCAGTAATTGACACCAAACAAGACAACACAGTATCGGGTTCACCATAATACAAACCATAATAAAAGAAACCATGATTCATGCATACGAGATCATAACATAATTACATCAAACATGATGCTGCATTTAATACTGAAAATTAGATCAAACAATAACAGACCAATACTGTATCAGACTCAGGCTCCATTGGTAACCTTAATCAATTATACATCTATAAAGTCACACAGTACAATTTAATTATTTATTTACCTTTAATACCGTGATAGAAAATAGGGTGAGGAGTCCTTACTTGTTTCGGGGTCTGAATTCGACTCTACAGTGCGCCTACAGGCTGTCCCTAATTTCTCTGAATTTTTTTCGAAAAACTGAAACGCACTACCGGTACCTGCACGTGTCCCAAAAAATCTCAAATCAGACCTAGGGCCCCTTTCGGGCAATATCGAAATTCCGACATGGCGGCTCCGCCGTGCTCCGACGACGGCGTCGCTGCTTGTGGCGGCGATCCGCCTTGGGTTGGTCGTTTTCGGCTGCTTTCGATCGAATTCGGCCACACTTGCATTAGTCCCTGCGATAAAACAACCCTAGGGCCCTCGGTGGGCCAAAAAATCACGAAAAACCGAGACTTACCGGCGGCAGTGCTTTCGGGTGCGGCGGCTCCTCCGGCGTGAGTCGCGTTTTGATGTTTGGCTCCGATCAACCAGTAGAGAAAAGAACGGTGATCACAGTGGTATAAAATTTGCATCGAACAGAGACCGGGAAGGGCCTCATCGAAGGCAAAAACAGAGGGGGGTCACTACGGTGCCGCTGGACTTCGGCTGGGTTTTTCAACCGTTTGGCCGGTGGTTTGGCTCCGGTTTGGCCATAGCGGACTCAGCATCGAAAAACGAGCTAGGGAGAGAAAATTTACCTCGATTGCGATCAGAACCTCTCTGGTGCGGCGGGGGGTTGGAGGCGCCGGCTCCTCCGGCGTCTGGTTCTTCTCTCGGCGAAGCACTGCGGCTAGGGTTTGTGGTCAGTGTGGGTGGGGTTATTTATACCATTTGCCTTCTAATCTCAATCATCCATCATGATTAAATCTTGACCGTCCGATCGCGATTTAATTGGGATTAAATCTAGGCCGTCCATCGCGATGCAATCTGGGCTGTCTGTGCGCGCGGGAACAGATCTAGGCCGTCCGATCGCGCGCACGCGAATCGCCCACGTGGCTCGTCTCGTGTCAGCATTTCCTTGCCACGCGGCGTGTCCTGGTTGGCTGGGGCTGCTGACCGGGCCGCTGACGTGGCTACTGACGTGGTACAACTTTTCTAAATTGCGTTTTAACCCCCGGTTTCTGATTTTCTTTTCAAAAATACCTCCATAATCCAAAATTTCACCTTTTTTTTCTAAAATTAATTTTAATTAAATCTAAATAATATTTTTACTCAATTTTATCATTATTATTATTTTTATTTTCATTAAATTAAATTAAATTAAAATCTTAAAAATTCAAATAAATAAAAATAAAAATAATAAGATAAAATAAGAAAAAACACTTGGGTGTTACAAATATAATTTATATATTGGTTTGGTTAAATTGCAATTGAGTTTTTATGAATAATATCATTTGCAGAATTTTTTAAGGCAAGAAAAAACTTACTGAAGCTTAGTATATTATTAAAAAAGAACATGACATTCATATTAATTGTATTCACAAATTAAAACTGATCTTATAAAAATATCAGTGTTAAAACAAATGGCTAATTATTTTTCTTCAAAATGTTGAAATTACCAACTTCCAATGACCTTCTCCTCCTCCACCTCTCTTCATTCTCTCTCCTCTCTCAAAGAAGCTATCCCCGACGAACTGCAGGACAGAAAAATACTTCTTTCATTTTTCCAAAACGTCGCCGCCATTTACACCTTTTCTGTCAGAGGCAACTCCATCCTTTTGCCTCATCCCGACCCGATATGCAGTATCTGGATCTCCTCGTCGGGTCAAGGTTTCTGTTTCGAGTTTTGGATCCCCGGACGTGAGAAAAGCGTGCTTGCAGGGAAGAGATCATGTTTTCCACTACTAATAAACAATTTTTATTGTTTTAAATTGATTTTTCTTTTGTTTTTTTTTTGTAAATATTTCAGAAACATTTAAATTTTATTCAGTTATATTTTTATTATAATTCTAGAATGAAATGGTATGTGTATAATGTGATAAATGTGATTATTATACTTGTCCAATAATATCCCGACACCTGTCAAAATCCTGGTGGCGTAACGTAGCAATACGAGGCAAAATGGCTGCCGAGCACTACAGCTTTTTAGTTTCCATTTCTAAAGAGGAAACAACGAAAAACGAAACTGTCATTCGACCCACCCCAACCTCCATCCATTGACTGCAGTGCTCTGCACCTAGTCATTACAAGAGTCGTCGGGGACAAAAGGGTAAATTGCTATCGATTTCTCAGTCCAGCAGCCAATCAGATTGCAGCATCTGACCTCATCAACGTCTGTTATAAAGACAAAAAATAAATAAAAATAAAAAGGAAAAAGCTTTTTGTATCTGCGGCGTGGACTTTCTACTGAAAAAACATTTGCAGATCCATAACACCGAAAATCGAAGAAAACCCAAAAAGTGGAAAAGGCAAGAACACCGCGACAATAATCAGAAAACTAATATATACATCCAGAAGAGTACGGCTATAAACTTTTTCTCTGCGTTCTTGGAAGTTTAAATCAATGGCTAACAACCAAGACCATCATTCATCATCGACGTCTAAAAGCAAGGCGTCTCCAGGGGCTCCACCGCGCCCAACAATCTCCCTTCCGCCGCGCCCTTTTGCCGATGTTTTCTTCAACGGTGGTTGGCCAGGGAGCGGTGCGGGACTCGGCATGGGCTTCAGCCCCGGACCCATGACTCTGGTCTCCAGCTTCTTCTCCGATTCTGATGACTGCAAGTCCTTCTCTCAGCTCCTCGCCGGAGCCATGGCGTCTCCGGCTGCCCAACAGAGGCCCGGCTTCCCTCCTCACCCGCCGGATGACAAGGGCTCCGGGGAAACTAACATCAGCGCCAGTGCAGGAGATGGAGCCGGGAGTAGTGGTGACTTCGAGGGTCGGTTGAGGCAGAATAGACCGACCGGTTTGGTCATCACGCAGCCACCATCAATTTTCACGGAGCCGCCGGGGTTGAACCCCGCGACTCTTCTGGATTCTCAAGGCTTCAGTTTGTTTTCTCCGGTAATCTTCATTTTTAATAAGCTTTTTGCAAGGAAAATTTAGCTTTTAAGATTTTTTATTCATGACGGTGTTCCTGTTTATATTGGCTTTTGTATCTTTGATTGCTGAGAAAAGTTGGAGAATATATGAAACCAACTAAGTTGCTGAGTGGATTCTCATTGATCAAAAACTAAGATGCTGAGTGTTATGATAAATGCTGGAACTTGGTTAGAGGTGAATTCTCATGATGCTTATTCCGAGGGAATGAAACTTTTAATCCAAGAGCTATTTATTGACCGAAACTGGTAACTCAGGACTGGAAACTGAGTGTTATGATCTTTTCGTGACTTGGCCTATCAGCACTGAATTGGTTTGCTTTGATTGAGTTGGAGAAAAGGAAAGCAATATAAAATTAGGGTTTGGGAATTTGACATAAACTGACATCAAGGTTTAAAGTGAAGATATGCTGTTATGACAACCCATATTTTTATCTGGTTGACAAGATGCCTTGGATGGAATGATTCAGATGCTGGGATTATGAGAAATGAATACATACTAGAACATTTCTTTTCCAGTCAGAATACTCCTACCTTAGTAATTATCTGCAAGGATTTGAGCTATGCTTCCGGTATGAATTATTCTTGAATGCTATGCCAAGCTTTGGAAAATTAGATGCCAGATGGGTCTTTAATCAGAAAACAGGAAATCTTTACTTCATGTATACAATTTTTTGTTGCCAAAAGTCATCCTCTTTTATTTACTTTGTCCGCTTCATAATTCCATTTTATGTTTGGTCAATGAAAGTTCCAATGTTCCACCATTTCTTTCAAGCAAAGGCAAAAGGAGGTTCTTGAATATCCAATGAAACTTGAAAAGCCAATTTTATTTGTACATGACTTATAAATGATCATTATTGTGTGGGGGACTTTCTCAACATTGCTGAAGAGGCACAACTACCTGTTGAATATCAAATGGCCAAAATAATACCTTTTATTTTCCTAAAAATTAATCACAATTTGGGGAAGGTGTAACTTTTTGACACAGGATGCTCTTGATCCTATGATTGATTGTTGTAACCAAAAATGGGAATTGAGTTTTTTTAATCCCCTCATTCTTTATTTTCGCACTTGCATTTTCTTAGTTTTAGATCTAAATCTTTTCCTCTTTTTGTTTTTTTTAAAGAAAAAAACTAAATCTATGCACTACCTTTTTATTACTAAATTATATAGTTAATTCGGCTTATATTTTGATTAATTTGAATCCTTACATTGTCATTTTTCACTTATATGTTAGATTACTTCATGTTTTATTTTCTTGAAAATGCCTAGAGAGTATGCTCTTTTGCATTTTCTCCCCTAACATCCACTAACTTTTGTTATGCAATGTCCATAGGGACCTTTTGGAATGACCCACCAACAGGCCCTAATGCAGGTAACTGCCCAGGCAGCACAAGCCAATTCCAATATGCATGTTCAAGCTGAACATTCATCATCAGTGCCTGCAGCAACTTCGGAGCATCTTCCATCTACCACCGTCAAGACAGATGTAAACCAACAGATGGCACTCTCTATTATAGATACTAGACTCGCAACAAAGGAATCATCAGATTTATCTCTTCCTGAACACCGACCACAACCTCCTTCATTCAGCATTGATAAGCCTGCTGATGATGGTTACAACTGGCGAAAATATGGGCAGAAGCAGGTGAAGGGCAGTGAGTTTCCTCGAAGTTATTATAAATGCACACATCCCAGTTGTCCTGTCAAGAAAAAGGTCGAACGTTCTCTTGATGGTCAAATAACGGAAATTATCTACAAGGGACAGCACAATCATCAACCTCCTCAATCGAATAAGCGAGCAAAGGATAATTCTAGCTCCCATAATCAAGGGAATTCTGAATTTTCATCTCGATCTCAAAGTGACAATTTCAACAAACCAAAAGAAGGGGCATCTGTTTATTCAATGTCTCAAAAGGACCAAGAATTGACCCATCCTACACCTGAACATGTATCTTGTACAAGTGACAGTGAGGATGTGGGTGATGCTGAAGCTGGTACAGATGTAAAAGATGAAGATGAGCCTGACCCAAAGAGACGGTAGATTTTCATTTGAGAATTTATCTCTCTTTATATTAAGTGATCTTTTTATTTGCATCTGGTCCATTTATAACAAAATCTACTTCTTTCATGCAGAAGTATGGAGAGCAGGGTTATAGAACCAGCATCTTCACATAGGACTGTCACAGAGCCTCGGATCATTGTGCAGACAACCAGTGAAGTCGACCTTTTAGATGATGGCTATAAATGGCGTAAGTATGGCCAGAAAGTTGTCAAAGGCAATCCATACCCAAGGTGATGCATCTTATACCTTGTTTATTAGAATAGCAGTTCGATATGGTATACTATAGTTATCAGTGATTCAGTTTTGGTTACCACTTTATAGGATTGTGTAATCTTTATATATTGTTACATAATTGAATTTAAGCTCGTCGATTATTATCCTAGTTCCAGCTTTTGGGAATCTCTAGCTGATTTTCTTAAGGTAAAAAGGAGATAAAGAAATCAAACAAGACAAAGATAGATTGCTTTCTAATAAATATTATCCTGTAGATAGCTTATAAAAATTTGACCAGAAAGGGCAACTGAAATCACATTTGAGCCTGATAAATGTTAGATGTTTTAGTATGAATTATATGCGGATATTATCTTTTTAGGCTATATGTGCTTCTTCTTTTTTTGTGTTTTGAGATTGTTGCATAAGCTACCAACCTATTGATCCATGAGCTACTCAACTGTAACTGAAACATGGGATTGTAGAAAAAGATAATTTACATGTATTAAATGAAACTATAGAGGGCAGGACTACCTAAATACGGACTTGAAGGTTTATTTATTCTTTCCCCACTTCATCACATCCATTACTAATTTGTTTCTTGGATTAAGTAATTTTAAAATAAGGCCCCCATGTTACGGCCCTGGCCCTCTCCCTTTGGCAAAGACCAGCTCCACAGCCATTTTAGCTCTATTGGGGCTTGAAATCAGATCATATTCCCTGATAGATAACATCAGGATCTTTTACCAGCTCCATAGCCATTATACTTGTATTTTTGAAGTAATCATGTTGGTTCATGATTCTTATGGCACCAACAGTCAGTCATTGATCTTTATAGGTTATTTTCATGTTTTCCTTATTGCCAGCACAATCTTGTTATGGTATATCTGATCCAAGGGCCATTTCTAAACACTCATGCTTCATATGTTTATGATCTCTAGGAGCTACTATAAATGCACAACCCCAGGCTGCAATGTTCGCAAGCATGTGGAAAGAGCTTCGACAGACGCCAGAGCTGTCATAACAACATATGAGGGCAAACATAATCATGAAGTACCTACTGCTAAATCTAGCAGCCATAACACAGCTAGTAGTAATGCATCACAATTAAAACCCCTGAATGTAGTAGGTGAGAAGCTTGCCTTAACTAACAGTAATCAACAGCCTGTAGCACGTTTACGACTGAAGGAAGAGCAGATAACATAGTTTCTGGAACTTGGAATCAGGGTCAGAGCATGATTATATACATGACATTATTTTATGAAAATTAGATCAGATGTATAAGTTATCTTTGCTATGTATCTCCATTTTTTTGGTATATATCTCTCTGTTTTCACACTTGAGGCTGCTGTTTTGATCAAGGCCATCTACTAAATTGTTGATAGACAGAAGTAAAGATAAAAGAGAGATCAAAGGAACCTTGCTTGGATGGAGGTATAGAAGGAGATGATGTTGTATGTAAAACTAATTTAGCCAGCAAAACGTTGTGTTGAAATTCTATCTGTTGTGCATTCTTTTTGTACATGGAGAAATACAAAGTAATATTGTTTCAAGAAAATGTTTTCGTAAGTGATGTAAATTTTTTCAGATATTCTGGTATTTTTTGTCTTTTGCTTTTTGGTTGTTGTCAAGTTTCATCCTCAAGTTTATTTTGTTTTCTTGAGCCTTATATCAAGTTGGATTCGTTTATGAACTGTTCAAGTAGTTTTATATTGAATTTGGGTTTGCTTACCGGCTCATTCATTTCAATAAGATTAGTTGAAATACAAATTAATAAATATTCTTTGGAAATTTGATGAATTATTACAAGCAAATTTACATGTTGCAGCATCAAAAATCATTACAAAAACGTGTTCTTTAATGTTCATGTTTTTGTCGGTGACTTTTTAATTGTTGTCCATAGTCTCAAAAAAGAAAAGATTCAATACAATAACATTGAGCATATGGAACACAGTAAAATTATATCATTATCAACTTTATTTTGTGATTATGATGATATTGTCTTCAAACCTGGTTTCAAATCTGTTTTTCATTGTGTTATGTAATTATCAACAAATTTACGTAGTTGCTAATTTTATTTGGCAACCATAATCTTTTCATTTGTTAAAATTAATTTGCAAGAACAACAAATATAAGAGCTACTGCAAGAAGAACAAGAAATCACATTTCTTGGTTAAAAGGAGTAAAAAGGGGATTGGAATAGTGATCAATTTGGCATGCTTGCAGATAGTTTAAGAAATATAAGAGCTGATCTCGGATTGTGATGATACAAACTATGATGGAAGAAAGAAGAAGAAGCTTAGTTTGACCTTTCAGAAGCATATGCGTTCAATAAAGGTAATCTTCGCTTATTTTTTTCCTACTTTCGTCACCGTTATTAATAACCAGGTAGTTCATTCTGTTTTTCATATTCTTAGTTACAGAGGATAAGCAAAATATCTGGATTATACTTTTATCATGCTCATTCCTAAAGTCAAACAGCTCAAATTCTCAAGTGATTTTTGGCTAGGTTTATATAACGTGATTATGAAAATAGTTACATATCCATTACAAATTGGTTGTAGCTCTTTCTTTCCTACATCATCTTTCCTGCTCAATTTCCTTTTGTTCCTAATAGATTAAGCTGTTAGATTATATAAAATTAAAGAAAACTAGTAGAACACTTAAATTAGATGAGTATGACTTATAATATGGTATGATGCTTCTTTCTTGAAATATCGTGCTCAAGATGGGATTTCAAACCATGTATATGGAGTTAATAACGACATGTATTCTATGTTTTCACATTCAATCTTATTAAATGGAGTTGTAGGTCCAAATTTT